AGTTAATTTAAAATCTGCTAAAAATTTTTATGAGCAGTGTAATGTTAGACTTCGTAACAATAGCATTACGTACATATACTTTCAAGGAAAGACAGAAGGCGGTAACACAATAGGGCAAAATTCTCTTGGATATTGTTACGAAAGTGGGTACTTCTAGAAAATATTTGAATGGTATTTAACATCTGCTGAAGGTGGTCACCTAGTGGACAATGTAATCTTAGTCTTGTTATAAAGAAGACATTAGCACTGCAAAGAATAAAAAGAAAGCATTCGATTTACATTTAAAATCTGCTAAACATAGTTCTCCTGGTAGGAAACTTTAATGTTGGACTCCTACAGTATAATATGGGTATAGGTATCACAGAGGATGAAAGAAAGTATTTGAGTCGCTCATGTTAAAAAGGTAAAAACTATTTTTAGTTTATTACAGTATTAAAACTGTAATCTGAACTAATATATATGGGCTAAAAATTAAAACTTATTTCATTGATGACCGATCCATCGCTGCATAAAGATAATGCATATTAGTTGAGAATGTAAAACCATTTAACCAAATTTGAATTATAACCAACCAGATTAATTCAGGTTTATTTAATATATTCTCTAAAAAAGGATCATCTAATTATAAAAAATTTAAGTTTTACTTCTCAATATTGCTGTACATATCAGTATTGTAATGCTAGTATTTCTTTAGCATAAAAATATAAATTTTAAGCTTCAATTCGCCCGAATGTTCCATATCTTAATAATTTTCTATCATATATTATTCAATAGTATATAATAGCGATACAGCTATATTACCTGTAGGTATAATTAGGTTAATAAGCAAAAGAAATATGTAAATCGATTATAGAATTTCTGCTTCATTAACCACTAAAACTAATTTTGCAGTAATGATAGTTTTCACTTTTAGTTGTTTCAAGAACTGATAAAAAAAAAAATTTATATCTCATAATAGTCTAGGTTCTTTGAGGTCGATAATGTAAATATTTACAAATTTTTCTTTTTTATGTATCATTATTTAACAACAAAATACTAAGACTTTTTAAAAAAACTGATCCAAATTTATAAATCTAAATACATAGTTGATATGATTTTCAAACAAAAATAAGCGTGAATCATGTCTTTATCAGTGACATCATGTATAGTAGAAACTTAATATAAAGCTACATTTTTTTACAAAAGCTATATTCTTAATTATCTTACTTTTACAATATTATCTCGTTATATTCTATATTCGTAAATTTTAACAATGCCAAAATCAAAACTCAAAAATGCTGCAAAAAAATGTATACTTACACAAAGTAGAAATAATGATGGAAGATTTTTAGCTGCAGATTCAGAATATAACAATCTAGAATATAGTGATCCAAAACTTTTAGTTTATAAATCTGAGAGTAGTAATGAGGAGGAATTTAATAATAGGGAGACGGAACTTAGTGAAGAAGAAGCTGAATGGTTAGTTTATGAAAATAGTTCATTTTATAATATTCAATAGGATAATAAAGCATCTGGTGGTCAGTTACCATATTATTTTTGGTAGTTTAAAACGTACTTAGCAATGCAAGAATAAAGGATTACAGGAGGCGGCACAAGGATCAATGAGTTTGGACAATTTTTTTAAACCTGAAAAAAAATTAGAAGTTAAATATGAAATGTCAGACTTAGATATAAGCGATTCAGATATAGAAAATAACAGTTCTATTTCAGAAAAAATAAATAAATTAAGTAATAATCTCAAAGACATGAAAAATATGAACGCTTATGAATATCTCCATCTTCTTGCCATGCATAAATACCTTGCTGCAATCTTCAATCATGAAGAGTTATATTCCCGTGTAAAACTAAGTTTTGAAATATCACAACAAGTTTTTCAACGTGGTCCATAGATAGCATGTCATATCTGTGAGTAGACAAAGAGTTGGATTACAACCGAAACTTTACCTGTCTCTAAGCAAGGACAACAAAAATACATACCAACTCTTATTGATGATAAGAATGTACAAAGTTCTTGCTTGCGTTTTATCTATACTATGGGTGAAAAAATAATCGCTGAAAAATTTCAGAATTATGTTCAGAACAATGTTTTACCACATATTACCAGTTCTTGTATTTCAATTTCATTAGGTATACGTTTATGAGAATGATACTTATATACAGCATATTCTGCTACCCGGCTAGTAAGTCCACGTCTATAAGCATCCATATAATACTATGCCTTTCGTGCAAAATGATGTATAGTTGTAAGTAATACTGAATCAAGTGTTTCAGGTACAGTAACTTGTAATCCAGACCATGAATAATCACAATGCTCACGTGAATAACATTTTATAGCACCTCAGTATCGTTCAATGAAATTTAATTCACAGTGATACTTAGGATAAAATATACAAACATGATCTTGTTCAACGATAAGTTCCTCTAATGCTGATTTTTGCATAATAAAATCAGGCTGTGCAGACAAAAGGTGACGCGTACAACAATTAGGTGCACTTGGATCATAATAGTTATTTCTACACTTTAATTTTAGACCACTAGTAGGCCATAAGTTACGCTCGCGAAGTACTTGTTGAATACCCTTTAGTTGACCACAAAAGATATAATTAGAATCATCAGAAGGAAGATCTTCAAGAAAGATCATTGGCTGAGTAATTTGTTCACCTTGTTTATTAATAAATCAACTGTCACGTAATCTTGACTGTTTACTACTGGGATAAAGATTCATGTTTTTAGTACATAACGCATCACTTGCGAAAGTACTATGATTGGTGCTATTATCAAATGCAAAGACACCAATATAGTTTGGGTGAGTTGCTTCGAAAATAGGAATTGCTTTATTGGCTACTTGTATAAGCAAGTCAGTAGCATTCC